CATAGTGTTGCCAGGGAAGTGATTTCTGGCAACGACCACACACACACACACACACACACACACACACACACACACACACACAATCATTTCATATTTCTAATGTGATAAATTCCAGATTTAGGTTTACATTCTAGATTGAGGTTGGGACAATCATCAGGATAGAAAAATAAAAAAACAACATTTTAGTATTAAGAATAAAACACAAGTTTTTTCACACAACTAGTAAAAGTAGCACTCCAAAGAATATCTGATTTTCAGGCTTCTCAAGACAAAAATCCCCATGCTTATCCATCCACTAACGTTTGGCATATATCATCCTGACCCTTAAAAATATTCTCCTTGAAAATACTTCATGCATTTCAACATATTCGTGTTCCCAGCTCTCCTATTATTCATGCCACTGCAAGGCAGATAACAAGGAAATTTAAATGCAACAAAGTTTTATATCAGTGTTTTCTAAGCATACAAATTATTAAGAGGAATTAAACTATAAATCGTTTCCCAACCCACAGTAGCAAAACCTAAAATCACATGGCGGCTATGACAAAACATCTAAGCTGGCATTGTTAATGGACACTACAAGCATTTAATTAGATTAGTTTTAGTCACTAACCATCCTGACAATGAAAGCTTTGTATTTCCAATAGTAAGTGCTGTCAATTATGCATGTAATCATTACCCTTTGTACCACAGGTCTTAAGGCCACCAAGTCAATTTCACTCATAGCTTGCATGCTATATAATGAACTAATTATGTTCCTTTGGCTATAACAAAGTAAGAGAGCTGAATTAAATGCATATGTTATTATAGTCTGCCAAAAGAATATCTAGGCAATAAAATAACTGCACAAAGACAACGATCAACGTCAGAAATAAGTGCACTAAACAGTAAGAATAACTATGTAAAGGTTAGACCTGAAGTACTAATCAATACACCAGCTCAGCAAAACACAGTGCAGCAGGTTCTTCTTGCCCTAGGGGAAACCAACATGAAGTAATTTAATTTAATAGTTATTTGCCCAAGCTCTGGAAAATGAAGTAAACCAGCCAAATCTTATTTTACAGTAACTAGGCTTGATCATTCAGTATTTACCAAGTTGATTCACTACTTATTGCCACCATTTCTATTTTATTTAAAGATCTGATTTCTAGAAAAGCTCACACAAATTTCTATTTGTTTTTTGTTACCTGAATTCCCAGATTGCATTAGGAAAGACTATCCCATACAAGAAATGTAATTTTAGTCAGAATATATAAAGTGATTTAACTGTACTCACAGGATAACTTGTAAAAGAAGCACAGCTTCTAATAGATTTTGTATGGAAATATATTACACGTATATTCAGACAATAACGTTATAATGGATCTATTCAGTTATCATCTATTCAAACTGTTTTATCAAAGCTAAAAGCAATTGTAACTGCACAAATTTGCACAGTTATAAACATATAAGACTTGAAAAGGGCCTAACACAATTAATAAAGTAACATGTCAATAGTTAAAAGCATGTTCTATGCCACTGTATAATGCAGCATTTTCAACAGCACTTTGCTTTGCAACTAAGGTCTCTCAATCAATTTCTATTTCTGTCTATTGGCTGATAAGTCTTTGTGTGAAATTAATTTAAGTGTTTTCTTTACAGTTACAAAAAAAGTCAGACTGCTCATTAAAAGTGCATAGGTTTTGTCACTAATTCAGCAGTAAATATCTCCAAACTGTTCCATGCAGAATAAAGAAATCCTTCTGGTGATAGCCTCTGTTCTTAACTAATTACAATCTGAATATATTTAGTATCAAAGTCTTGAAAATGTTTTCACTAGATTTTACTTTTATTTTGTTTCTCAGTTAACATTATTGGACAATGTTATTTCTGGTAATTTTCATGTCAATTTGCCTTTCTTGGTTTTGGAGAGAGGTGCAGTCAAAATATTCACACACATTTGTTTCAACAAAATCCACCTGGTTTCTAGTGCATTTCTCAGAGTTGAGGATAAAAGTCTCCAGTCCTTACTGAAGCTGTGTCTACACTATGAAGCCTATACTGGTATAGCTATGCTGGCAGAACCCTATGTCAGATGCAGCATACACCAATGGAAGAGGGTTTTCCATCGTCATAGCAACACCACCTCCCTGACTGTTGATAGA